AAACTTTTCATGCACATGCTCCAAGTTAGCAGGAAGGTCAAGACCGACTTTGCATTTCTCATCTCCCATCGATAGTGGAAATAATCGATTTTTTCATGCTTCTACGGCAGTTTTCATGTAGTTTGCGGCCATTTTCTACTGGCCAGAGTGAGAGCCTATAGCTGGCTGCCACGAATAGACAGGAAGATTCTATTGGCCAGCATGAGAGCCAACAGATGACTGACATGAATCATAACTAGCATGCTAGCATGCAAAAAAAATCGATAGCTGCATTCGTCACAAGTGGGCAAAAATTTAAATCTGCGTGACACTTTACTCCAATTGGCTCAGTCATTGATTCTGATTCCGCAGAACTGGGTTGGGTGTGAAAAAGTATTTGTCATTAACATTCTTTTTTCATTCGGTTTTTCCAGTTACGAGTCCTTTTTTAAAGCTGATAGTTTTTTGTTCATTTTGTTTAGTTCTTTTTTCGTAACAGATTTAATGTTTAGTGTAGAGCTTAGAAAAAATTCGCAGTGTGAGATAGACAAGAAGTAAGGCATGTAGCAACATCAGCACGGCAAAGGGCACTCCTTTAAAGGCAAGGAAGGGCAAAATATTTTAAGTCAAGTGATAGAGATTGCTGTATGACTCGTACGATTTTTGAATCAAGCACGGGCAACGCCGGCCCATGCTGCTAGTTAGAACTAAAATAAAAACTTCAAGAAAGATTTTTCATTTGTAAAAATTCATTTTAAACCATAGGTATCGCGAATCTGTGAAGGTACCTTTTTAAAATGACCAACAATACACTTTTATCTGTAGTTGAAGGCATACAATTGCATTCAAAATATATTTAGTTGAAACCATAAAATTAGGTTCAAAATATTTAGATTTCGGCATTAAATAACCCATAGAGATGTTGAAATGCCGCTGAATAAAATCGACCAACCACGAATCTGTGTAGGTACCTATTTTTAACCTGTAGCTTAAGGTCTCTAATTGAGAGATTGGAGGTTTTGAGGAGTGTGGAACAACCACTTAATTGCTGCTGTTGCCAGGTCCACCCTGACCTGGGGTGGTAGCACCTGCTAGGGTCCCAGCTATGGGCAAACAGAGAAGCTCCAAACAAAAACAAACAATATAAGAGTATAAAAAAATATTTTATAATAAATTTACCAGCAAGACACTTTTATACAAAAAATATGACCAACAATACATGTTATAGTAAAATGACCAACAATACATTTTATCTGTAGTTGAAGGCATACAATTGCGTTCAAAATATATTTAGTTGAAGCCATAAAATTGCGTTCAAAATGTTTAGATTTCGACTTTAAATAACCCATAGAGGTGTTGATATGCCCCTTAACAAAATCAACCAACCAACAATACATATTTATAGTAAAATGACCAACAATACATTTTATCTGTAGTTGAAGGCATACAATTGCGTTCAAAATATATTTAGTTGAAGCCATAAAATTGTGTTCCAAATATTTAGATTTCGAGATTAAATAACCCATAGAGTTTGATATGCCGGTAAACAAAATCATCCAACGAACATGAAATCTCCCTTTCATGACATTAATCCATATAATTTCTTATAATTTGTTAAAAGAATAAAACTGTATTCTAAAATATAATTTCAACAAAACTACAACATAAAACAAACTAGTAATTATTGTACATACAAACATGTATATATGCACAATGGCTGGGTATTACCTACCATGTGTTCACTTGTGAAAGCGGAATAACATGTTATTTTTATTAATTCAAAGCTCCCAAGATAATTAAATTTCGACATTAAATGTTCCAGGATGAGTTGATATGCCGTTAAACAAAAAATCAATCAACCTATTGGTAGGGGGTGGGGGAGAACAGTGCGATTTATGATTTTCTCAAGGGCTTTTGTACTAATGTGAACGTAACGACTAGACTGGAAATTGAACTCTGCATGCCGATTTTACTTTCTTCGCTGATTACCCAGTTAGAAACCATTTTATTTTTCAGATGTCTTTACAAATATCCTTGAAATCATATGAGCAATATCATTAAAACAAAAAAAAAAATGCAGCACGAACGCACTGGACGGCAGTGAGGATGATATCTTTCTGGAGGAAGAAGGACAAGGTGGCTCTGTGGACGACGACGACAACGTCGAAGATGACGAAGGCATCTACTACTCTGGCTGCATAGACGAAGGTGTCATGGCGTCTATCTTTGATACGGACAGGAGAAAGCTGTCAAAATGTGTTTAATATCTAACTAAATAATTGTTCTTAAACAAATGTAATATTTATTTAGTAATTATTTTAGTCCAGTGGTTCACAAACTTTTTTTTTTTACCTTGCACCAGTTTTACTGTTAATGTTTTTGGCCGAACTTTTCGATAAAAAAATCTTATTTATTTTTTTACGAATAAAAAAGTTTAGAAATTGTATTATAGAAATAGTAAAAATGCATTCCAATCATTCCAGATACATATAGAAAAATCTACATATTCAATTAAAAATTAAAATATAAAAAACTTCCAGGGAAATAGGTAACAGAATAGGCGAAAGCGCTCGGACATATAGAAAATTTTGACAATGCACATACACTTTATGATCAGAAAATAATCACTTATATGAACACATAAAATGAATATATATAAATATATATATATATATATATATATATATATATATATATATATATATAAGTTATTACTGTTAATATATATACACTGATATCCGTAAAACAATTGACATTCAGTGTATATATACACTGATCCGTCATGATGACCGCATTTTATTTACTAAGATTTCTCGAATTCGCAAACCGATAGTCGTACATGTAATAATTAACAATGGGACGTCTATTGCAGGTACAACAAATCCACTATAATGACGTTTGATGCAATAAAATGTCGGATTAATAATAAATCCATTAATTTTCTCTATATATATATATTGCTACTGATAATATATATATATATATATATATATATATATAGAGAGAGAGAGAGACTCGACTCGTCAATTCAAGCAGATCAGTTCCTAGGAAACCGACAGCCCGAGAGACTCGATTATAGTGGTGAAGGTTTCGTGCAGGACCATCCACACTTTTTGATGGGCCAATTACAGAGACCTGGTGCACTAAATGCCACAAGGTCCCCAAACGACCCTCCGCTCGTTTTGAATTCAGAGTTGTCCTTCTCCTAGGCCAGTTGCCATCAAAGGCTATAGAACCCAGTCTGTCCTGCTATTTACCCATAGCTGGAGGGAGAAGAAAAGGATTCACATGATTAGCACGTCAGAGAAGGTAATGGATTCGACTGGAATTCGAACTCGTCTCTCCGATTCCTCACTCCAAGCCCCTATCCATTACGCCACCGTTCCTCTCTCTTTTATACATGTTTCATTAAAAACGACAGACAAGGTACGGTGATCAAGCTTTTACTTAATTTTTCATGTATTGTATTCGAACATGTGTTTTCTTTTCTGGAACCAGAGTGAGTAGAAACTGTCCAAATGTTCTGTAATTGGTGCTTTTTTATATATATATATATATATATATATATATATATATATATATATATATATATATATATATATATATATATATATATAAAAAAGCTCCCTTATATTGAAACGCTTATTTTACCCAAAAATTCCATAGCAATAACGGATAAATTTTTTTTTTTTTAAATAATTATGACATCGCGTTCTTTCGAATATGTTTTTTTCAAAATCACCATCACAACGAAATGCAGATTTTTCACAGTTAAATACGTTTGTAATTTACCCCTGAGGATGACCTTGTGGGAGATCGAAAGTACTTGGTTGTGAAAACTTTACGGTACCTTCCTTGATGAATTTCATCTTAACATCAACAAACTGATTAGCGAACTGGAAATGATTAGTATAAAAATAAAGGGACATAAAATATCTATATTATTCCATGAAATGTGAATGTACCGGGTGTAACTGCAAAATTGTCCAAATCGTGTAACAGCAAAATTGTCCAATTGTTAGATTGAGCTCTGATCCGTTGTATCTTAGAAATGATTAAAGGTATCTTACTGGAATTCTCCCAGGTATTTATATCATTTATATTGGACTCTACTTTGAGCAATATGAATGTATAATTGCTATACAAGCTTAACAAAAGTCTCATGATGAAATCGATCACAAACGAAAATCACATTTTCATCATTGATCATAACTAAGGATCGAATGATCATGAAGGATTGAAATAAATTTCATATATATATATATATATATATATGATTCCAGGATCATTTTCCATCTTATTCAAGATGATCTTTGCCCTCTCAAACTTTCTTTCTGTCCTGGAGTAACAAGGTGTCTCACAGGTTTCACGTACGATTTCGTTTCCAATTCTTTTTTTCACTGCTCTTTGAACTGTCATAGTTGAAACTTCTCTCTCGCGTACCAAACATCTTATGGATTGTGTTGGATTTTTTCTAATTGATCTCTTTAGCACTAAGTTGAAATGAGGATCCCTCTTCCTGTTGTGACCTGCTGATCCAGTTTTCCTCTCTACTGTTCACACTTTTTAAAACTTATTCACCGTTTTTTGATGGCTCGTGAATGGAATTTGGAGATGAATCCAGAGTATGAATATTGGTATCATTACTGAAGGCCTGAATGATCTTTTTCCTCTCACCATTGCTCAGTTGGAAAGACAGTGGGGCTGGCACAAAACGATTTTAATCTGTTCTCTTTCTAGCTGAATAACTCAAAGGATTTTTCAGTGAGTCTTACGATAGTGTCAAGATGGCTAAACGTCATATCATAAAACCTGGAAAAAAGAAACTCAATTAGATTAGTGGGTTTTTAGATATTAAAGACATTTTTGGGATGGATAATTATGCTGTTACATGATTTGGACATTTTTTTACACTTTCTGTTACAGTCAGTATATGTATTTGTGTGCATGCGCGCGTGTGTTTGTGTAGAGAGAGAGAAGGAGGAAAATGAAAAGAGTGTGGCAGATAGATATGAACAGACTAAGATAGATAGATAGATATCAACAGACTGAGATAGATAGATAGATAGATAGATAGATAGATAGATAGATAGATATGAACTGACTGATAGATATAAACACACTGAGATAGATACATTGATTGATAGATAGATAGATAGATAGATAGATAGATAGATAGATAGATAGAGAGAGAGAGAGATAGAGCGAGAGGTAGGTATGAAAAGACTGAGATAGTTAGATAGATAGATATCAACAGACTGAGATAGATAGATAGATAGATAGAGAGAGAGAGAGAAAGAGAGAGAGAGGTAGGTATGAAAAGACTGAGATAGATAGATATCAACAGACTGAAATAGATAGATAGATAGATAGATAGATAGATAGATAGATAGATAGATAGATAGATAGATATGAACTGACTGATAGATATGAACAGACTGAGATAGATACATTGATAGATAGATAAATAGAGAGAGAGAGAGAGGTAGGTATGAAAAGACTGAGACAGATAGATAGATAGATATCAACAGACTGAAATAGATAGATAGATATATATCAACAGGCTGAAATAGATAGATAGATAGATAGATAGATATGAACTGACTGATAGATATGAACAGACTGAGATAGATACATTGATAGATAGATAAATAGATAGAGAGAGATAGAGAGAGAGAGGTAGGTATGAAAAGACTGAGATAGGTAGATAGATATAAACAGACTGAGATAGATAGATAGATAGATAGATAGATAGATAGATAGATAGATAGATAGATATAGAATTCCTACACAACAGACACGAAAACAACGTGATGGATATATTGACAACAACTTGTAATTTGTAATATTTAATTGTGGAATAATAATGATTGACTTCGATTTAACTGAATCACTTTGCTTCTGAATTTATCATTTTGCACACGGCACCAGTATTTTCATGTCACGCGCCGGAGAACATTTCTGAAATAGTCAATGTACTTATTCCTGTTCTATATTCGGCGCCATGATGATGGTGAGGATAGTGTAGCCGGATGTCGTTTCCGAAAGTGAAACTGGTGAATCGAGTTCAATTTTCAGTCTAACCGGTGACTTTGGCACGAATGCACATGGGAAAACCATGAGGTCTTCTCCCAAGATATGGGTTAAATACTAAGGTAGCAAATATTCATTATTTCTCTTCGTTTATCTCTCTCTATATGAGTCTATCTATATATTTCAGTCTTAATATCTATATCGGTTCATATTGTTCTATATCAGTCGTTTAATAGATATCAGTTTTTAATATCTATTTATCTATTTATACCTTCTAATATCTATCTGTTTATTAATATCTCGGTCTGTTCATATGATGTTTGGTCAGGTATGTCTATCTATCTATCTATCTATCTATGAATTATTTTATTATCTGTATCTGCCTTTTAATATCTCTGCCCATATATCTGTTCAGGTGCATCTATCTATCTATCTATTTATCTATCTCTCTCTCTCTATATATATATATATATATATATATATATATATATATATATATATATAATTCATATATATATGTATATACTAGTAGTAGAGCCCAGCGTTGCCGGGGATGTAACAATAAGAGATAGATCAAGTATCAACCATAATAAAGACTGAAAAATAAAATTGACAAAGATCATTGTTTAAGGTTGATGGACACGCATGTCTTAATTAGTTTTTTTTTTTTTTTTTTTTTTACGAATTGGTCAAACTCAAACAAAAAACATTGTTTTCAATCGTTATGAGTCTATTGATTGAATAGAATTTTATTATAAACAATTGTTTTGTAAATGGAATTTTTAAAGCATTCTGAATGTAAAAATAAAGAGAAAAGTGTGCAAGACAATAAGAAACACTACCTGCCAAAAAAAAAGTGAAGTTTTGTTGAAATCGGTTGAAAAATGTAGGAAATCCGATCCCATATATAAACAAACACAGACACACACACACAAACAACCTGGGTTTTACAATAAGTATAACTCGATATGAGTTGTCCCCCTTCCATTCTCGCGACAGTGATGCCTCATAATCGTGTTTTCAAATTGATTTCGTGCAAAAACAATTGTGTTTTTTCAATTTTTGGCGCTGTCAGAACCACCGCAAGGTAATTTTACGTAGTCCTGTGAAGTGTTGTTAAAATCGGTTGAAAAATGTAGGAAATCCGATCCAATATATAAACGTACAGACACACACACACACACACACACACAATCTGCGTTTTATAATAAGTAAGATATATATTAATTATTTTTAAAAAATATGATTCCATCGTGACACAGAAATTACTATGTTTCGAAACTGGTCATCCGTATTCAAGTTTAATTTCAATATTAAACCTTAATTGTTGGATATCTGTTTCATCCTCAAGCAATGTTTGGAATAACTAAGCAACGAAATGTTTTACTCATTTATAGTTTTGAAATGGTGGTGTAATCTGGGGTTATTTTTTCATTATAAAGGGGTCCCTGTTTTGATGAAAGATGGTGTGTCTGTTACATGCCAAGCTTATGGTGTCGTGCAAGGTTGTTTTTTTTTTTCTGGCTACAATGGCTAATTTTATCAGGCTCCGTTGTTTTTTATTACTATCTACTAAAAACTCTAAATGATTGATACTGTAGTTACAGTCCTTTTTGGTGTTTATTTATTTTTGTTTTGTTTGTTTTGTCTTTTGCTGATGATTTCTTAAAGGGGCGTCAAGATTATGATTGTGTTGTTCTTTTTAACCTATTGTTTTCATTGAATTTACTCATAGATTTTATATGGTATTTTGTAATTGTATATAGTATTGTGAATTTTTTATCCATTTATAACTTACTAATTATTTAAGGAGAACATTTGATGGTGTCGTTATTTCGTTTCTTTGATTTAATTATTTTTTGTTTTTTAGAAACTTGATAATGTATAGTTTTTCATGGAGGCATAAAGGGCACGGGTCATCCCAGGTTCTACAAGTTTTTGTTCTATTTATTATTTTCCATTTTACTGTTGGTGTTTTACTTGTTTCTTTGCCAAAAATATTTAGATACGGATGTCTGATTTCTGTTTCTAATATTATTGAAGGAGCTTTGGTGTAGTCTCCACCTTATTTTAAATTCATTTTTTTTGTGGATCTTATATATATCTTTTCAATACATGGATTCTCAATGGATGAGATTGTGCATTGTTATACCACAGATTCTATGCGGTATTTTTATTCAGAGAGCAATTTTCAAGGGTTTCTACAATTAAATAATTTTTCTTTATTTATGTCTAATTTTAATTTAGGGTCTTTATTTATTTGATTTTAGCATGCGTTTTTTTTTAAGGATTTCATTATTATGTTTTTTTTTATAATCCTTTCTAGATTTTCAGTACAGCTATAACTTAATTTTAGTTTGTTTTCATTAAAGATCTTGTTAATTTTGCTGTTAGTGGAAAAATGTTTTTCGATTAAAGCTAGGAATTTTTGTCCTAGCTTATTACTAACCATTTGGTCGAAGGGGAAGGGGTGTACCAAATGATTTTTCTTTTTCTGTTTTTCTACCGGTTTGTACTATTATATTTTATATAATTGATGTTAAGGTGTTTGTAGCCTCTACATTTTAGAGCTTGGTTGTAAAAATTATTGTGTTTATAGAATATTTCTTCATTTGCGGAATTTATACTAATTATTTTCTCTATTGATGAGGGTATGTGCTTAATTATGGAAGGAGGATGGTTTGACCTGGGGGTGTACATACAAGGAATTAGTATTAGGTTTTCTGTCTAATGTTATGTAGAGGAAGTTTACCCTTTTCAATTTTGTGTTGACCGTAGTTTTTAAATTTAGGTTTCTGAATTCACTATATATTATCTTTCTAATTTTATCTATTTTAAAATTAGTGAAACTCCTCATTACCATGAGGCCATCATCTCTGTATAGCCTGATATCTTTAATGTCTAATTCACGGTGCGCAGTTAGGTTGTATAATATAAATAGACCGACAAGGTGATGTCAAAATAGTCTTCAGAGTTTTAAAACATAAGCCCCCATTATGAATGAGGACAGATTTTTTACGTTGAGTATTGTTTTTGTCGTCTTCTGTTAGGTCTGAATATATAGTAGCAAACACTAAGGCAGTCGTGAATAGATCTCTTGATATTGACTGGTAGTAATACTCAAAATAAAACTATTAGGGTGCAATTTGGCTTGTCGTTGAAACTGGTAAATCATTCGTGCTGTGCTAGCACGAATTCACAAGTCATTGTAACTGAGGATTTGAGAGTGGTGGTGTTGTTAGAAATTGTTGCTCACGCCAGATAATGTGCTATCTCCCAGAAAATGTAACTAAGGTCTGCTCAGCATACTTGCAGTATAAACCATAGGTTGTCTCTGTGGCTTTTGATCAAACACAAATGTGCCTGAGCGAGCGTCTGCAATGAGGATTGGCTAGCCGCCCTAATAGACGGATATCCTCGAATACGAGTGACCAGTTATTATATATATAGAGAGTGAGAAAGAGAGAGAGAGAAAGAGAGAGAGAGAGGAAGAAAGTGAAAGAAAGAAAGAGAGAAAGAAAGATAGATAGATATGAACATACTGAAATAGATAGGAAGAAAGGACGATAGGCAGATATGAATAGATTGAAACAGAAAGAAAGAACGATATGAATATAGATACATATATAAAGAGATCGACAGATATATAGACAGACAGACCGACAGAAAGGAAAATAGACGTATATGAACAGACTGTATATATATATATATATATATATATATATATATATATATATATATATATATATATATATATATATGAACTTTGATGAAATAGACAGATAGGAAGTAAGATATATGCGAATAGATTGAAATAGAAAAAAAGAAAGAAAGACAGACAGACAGACAGATATGAAATAGAAACAAAGATATGAGCATATATAGATAAAAGTTAGATATAAACAGACAGAAATAGATAGAAAGATAGACGAATATGAAGATACTGAAAGGAAAATAGATATAAATCCAACTGAAACAGAAACAAAGAAAGATATGAACATAGATAGATAGATAGATAGATAGACAGATAGATAGATAGATAGATGTGAACATACTGAGATAGATAGATAGATAGATAGATAGATAGATAAGAACAGATCCAAATAGATAGATAGATAGATAGATAGATAGATAGATAGATAGATAGATAGATAGATAAGAACAGATCCAAATAGATAGATAGATAGATAGATAGATAGATAGATAGATAGATAGATGTGAACATACTGAGATAGATAGATAGATAGATAAGAACAGATACAAATAGATAGATAGATAGATAGATAGATAGATAGATAGAATGAAAGATAGATAGCTATGAACAGACTGAAATAGAAACAAAAGAAACGAATATATGAACACACACACACACACACACATATATATATATATATATATAGAGAGAGAGAGAGAGAGCGAGAGAGAGATAGACAAACAGACAGATATAGAAAAGTAGAAATATATATATATATATATATATATATATAGAGAGAGAGAGAGAGAGAGAGAAAAATATATACATATATATGAACAGACTTAGATAGATGAAATACACACATACATATATGCATATATTTATATATATATTTTATACACACACATACATATATATATATATATATATATATATATATATATATATATATATATATATATATATATATGAACAGACGGAAATGGAAAAAAATTATATGAAGATACTGAAATAGATATAAACAGATTGAAATCAAAAGAATGTAAGAAAGAGAGAAAGATATGAACATAGATAGATAGATATGAATAAACATAGATAGATAGATAGATAGATAGATAGATAGATAGATAGATAGATAGATGTTCTGAGTAAAAAATGTGATTGATTCTGATTTGCGATATTTTTGGTTATATCCCCTTAATTCAATCAAGTAAGTACCTTTTTTTTTTTCATTTATTCTTATCACTGGAACAATTTCTCGGCGGTCACATGCTTGAAGGGGAGTGACCAATTCAACAGAATCATAATTCCTTTTTCATACGGAATCACAGCCTCTTTCAGCAAGAAATAAAAGAATGATTTTCACTGGGGGGCTTTTGTCATTTCTCATAAAGCTCCCCGTATTCTTCATGAATAGATTGCAAGTTTGTTTCATCTGAACGCTTTTTGTTATCCTGTCTCCTAAAAATCTGTCAATATTTTCTGAACAACTGAATCATTATCCAGTAAATGTCTATCGCTCTATTTCCGCGATGCAAGTAATTGCTGGAAATAGCCTGAAAACATTGTCCAGTAGATTAAGGATTAAGGATGGGAAAATATATCCGATTAAATGAGATGAGATTTGATAGACGCCCGAGTGTTCATATGCAATGCATTTTGGTAAAAGCCGACGCACCTAAGTGATGAAAGATTTCCTAGATTCTTCGTTAAAATGATAGAATGACGCTGCATGTTCGAAATTTGGTTCTCTTATGGGCGTCGTGAAACGCGGGTCCGACGATAAAGAAAATCAACATATAGACAATATGGTGGATGGGTTTGGTTTCAGTGTACGGAAATTGAACTAAAATTTTGCATATTATTTTGTAACAGAGCAATGGACGAAAAATGGGAAATTTTCTTGAAGTAGGATAAGAAGAAGGAGGAGGAGAAAGAGAAGGAGGAGAAGGGAGGTGAGAAGAGTAGGAGGAGGTAGAACAAAAAGAAGAGGCGAAAGAGTAAAAAAAAAAGAAGGGGCGAAGAGGAATGAGAGTGGTTGATAGAATCAGAAAGATAAGAATAGAGAGGAGTAAGAAGAAAAGGAAGGAGGAAGAGAAAGAGAAGAGGAAGTGAAATGAGAGGAAGAGAAGAAAGAATATAAAAGGAGGAGGAGAAGTATGAGAAGGGAGATGAGGAAAGGAAGAGGAGGCCGAAGAAGGAGAAGTAGGAAGAGGAAGTGCAACAAGAAAAGGAGAATGAGGAGGAGAAAATGAAGAGGAAGAGGAAAAAAGCAGAGAGGAGAGAGGAGGAGGAGGCCGAAAAGAAGGAGGAGCAGGAAGCGCAAGAAGAAAAGAAGAAGGAGTACAGGAAGATGAAGAACAGAAGAAAAAGAAGTAGGGGAGGAGAAAGGAGCAGGAGGAGGAAGAACACAAGGAAAATAAGAAGAATGATGGGAAGCTGAAGATGAACGGAAAAAAGGAGGAGAGAAAGGAGGAGAAGAGTTGAAGAAGAAGAAGAAAGAAAGAAGAAGAAGAAGAAGAAGAGGAAGAAAGAAAGAAGAGAAATGGGAAGAGGTAATTTTTCTTAAGACTAATTAGTCGAAGAGTCAATTAAAGTGATGGGCTGATGAAAACGCGATCATGTTAGATAATGAATGAATAAGGAAGACATTTTGAACCAAAGACAAGACATTTGAATTAATGTACATTTTTAGCTCTCTCCTCTCTATCTGAATCTGCTTATTATCTATTTAACTATTTCTCCCCCACCCTCTCTCTCTCTATATATATATATATATACACACACACACACAAAAATATATATATATATATATATATATATATATATAATATGCTTATATCTATCTATCTATCTATCTATCTATCTATCTATCTATCTATCTATCTATTTGGATCTGTTCTTATCTATCTATCTATCTGTTTCAGTCTGTTGATATCTATCTATCTATCTATCTATCTATCTATCTATCTGGATCTGTTCTATCTATCAATCTATCTATCTATCTACATAAATGCATATGCACAAACCTAAACGCACATACATTCATACGTACATATATGGCGGTGGTTTCCTGTATAAGAAGGACGCCGGTTGGAACCCAACTGGAATGCATGTTTTATTTATTAAAATTCATGAATGCACTGCTCGGTAGAGTTAAAATTTCACTGTTAAAAAATATTTACATAACAAATAAGAAATAATGTCTGATTATAAATAAAATCTCAAGTTTAGAAATCATATTATAAATATATATTTATTAAAGACATTTTTATGTTTAACGTTCTTTTTATAGATACAAGTATTTAAGTAAATGCTCTGTTTATAATAAACAGTATTAAATAACATTTACCGGCCTAAATGTCAGTAATTTTCATAGAAAATATTCGGAAACCATCCTATACGGAACCGTCATTTACGCTGACGTGCCTTGACCGCTCATACAAAGTGAATTCAACATTACCAACCGAACGATCCTTTGGCCGATTGGTAAGGCACGTCCGTAAATGATTGGTATAGATGCAGGTTCGTCAGCAAAGGTCGAATATTTTCTATGAAAAAATTTCTTGGACATTCAGGCTGGTAAATGTTATTTAACACCGTTTATTATAAACAGAGCATTTACTTAAATACTTGTATCTATAAAAAAGAACGTTAAACATAAAAATGTCTTTAATAGACAAATTGTCGGACTTTGTCCATTTCTTAATATATATATATATATATATATATATATATATATAGAGAGAGAGAGAGAGAGAGGTTATAGTTGTTCCAACGAGAAAAAAGTGTATATATTAAAAAGAAGAGAGAAACCGCAAACGTTTTTAGTTGTACTATATATTATGCTTTATTTTCCATAATTTTGCTAAACAGGTTTCGAGTCTCGCGACCTTCTTCAGGCAAAGAGTGGATATTTCCACATATTATTAAAATGAATTGATTTCCCTTATGTTTTTCGACGTTAAACATTCTCGATGTTAAGCGTTCTCTTTTTTTTTCTGTGGTAGTTACACAAATGTCTTTCTTAAACTGGTACCTTCAGCATTCCGACTACAGAGTTTAGTAGACGGACCCACCGGGAATCACTCTGTCCACTTATTAGGGGTATCAGCAGTTGACTGCTTATATTTCTTGTAGACTTTTCTTTATTGTAAGTTTTTTTTTATTGCCGCACGTGTGTTATATATATATATATATATATATATATATATATATATATATATATATATGTATATACAGCACGGATATACAGAATAAATCTGCATATCTATCGTCGTATAAGATAAGAACAAACGGAGTATAATTCCACTGGCTGTAGCATTTAATTTTAAAAAAGGGCTCAATACAAAGTAGAGCTTAATATTATTTATTATCATGTAGCGATTTTTAACATGTTTTTGTTTTAATCTCCTATAATAAATATTATATATATGTATAATTTTCTCTTTCTCTCTCTCACTCACTCTCTCTCTCTCTCAATATATATATATATATATATATATATATATATATATATATATATATATATATATATATAGAGAGAGAGAGAGAGAGAGAGAGAGATAAGTTTAAAAGATAAAATTTTTATAAAAAGTCCAAGTCTTGCTAGTCCGTGCTACAACATAACAAATTTAGTCCTAAAGGACGTGACGAGTCATACGAAAACTTTTTTACACTTTGTCATACATTGCCCCCGCCAACAATATTGTTCTTGATATAAAACAAATTATTTATTCTTACCTCATAGATAGAAAGATAGATAGATAGATAGATTCGAGCTTGTCAAACGAACGCTCCTTCGTGGCCAAATCGGTAAAGGCACGTCAAGCTAAATGACGATTCTGTATAGGATTCAAGTTCGAATCTTGTCGGAGGAGGAATATTTTCTGTGAGAATTTCTCGGACATTCAGGCCGGTTAATGTTGTTTAATACTGTTTATTATAAACAGAGCATTTACTTAAATACTTGTATCTATAAAAAGAATGTATAAACATAAAAATGTCTTAAATAGATAGATAGATGAATAGACAATAAAATTAACAGTGAAGCAATTAATGCAATTTTAAATTTATTTTACTTTCTTTTATGTATGTATGTGTGCTCCCCACTTTCATTTCATTTCTTTCCCCCCCTTTCTTTCTATAAGTCTTTCTCTCTTCTTCTCTTCTCACGCATATATTTTAGACTTTTATTTTCTCTCTATCTCACTTATCTCGTCTCTTAGTTAATTGATGCCTACTGCTTAATGCTACGAGATAAGGTTTTAAACGGCGATAATAAAATGGGGAAATTGTCTACGCAACAATGGAAGAGATGATGGTATAGATTGGTTGAAATTCGGATATTATTTGCATATATCGAGGGGGGAGGAAGGAGAAGGAGGAGAAGGAGGAGGACGAAGAAAACGGTAAGACAAAGATAACATCTATTCACGAATATAAAACTTGTCAAGAGGAAGAAGAACTTGTGGCGATTCTGACTTTATTATTCTAAAAGTGACTGACATGGACTGAAAGCAGGCAGAGATAGATAGATAGATAGGAAGAAAGGAAGATACATATGAACTGACTAAAATGGATAGATATTTAGAATGGATATATATATATATATATATATATATATATATATATATATATATATGCTTATATAGATAGAAATATATATATATATGAGCAAGTTGAAATAGAAAAATTATAAGGAGATACTGAAATAGATGAATAGATAGATAGAATGTTACATATAAACAGACTGAAATAGATAGATAGATAGATAGATAGGAAGAAAGGAAGATACATATGAACTGACTGAAATGGATAGATATTTAGAATGAATATATATATATATATATATATATATATATACATATATTTCTATCTATAAAGTATATATATATATATATATATACTTATATACATAGAAATATATATATATATATATATATATATATATATATATATAGCAAGTTGAAATAGAAAAAATTATTTGGAGATACTGAAATAGATGAATAGATAGAATGTTACATATAAACAGACTGAAATAGATAGATAGATAGATAGATAGATAGATAGATAGATAGTCAGATATGAACTGACTGAAATGGATGGATATTTAGAATGGAATATATATATATATATATATATATATATATATATATATATATATATATTTATATCTATATATATATATATATATATACTTATATAGTTAGAAATATATATATATATATATATATATATATATATATATATATATGAGCGAGTTGAAATAGAAAAAAATTATATGGAGATACTGAAATAGATGAATAGATAGATAGAATGTTACATATAAACATACTGAAATAGATAGATAGATAGATAGATAGATAGATAGATATGAATAGGGTGAGATAGAATCCAACAGACTAGTCAGTGCGCATGTGCAGTCGGTCCAAGATAACAAATTTAGTCCTAAAGGACGACACGAGTCACACGAAAACTTTTCCAGTCTCCATATATTGCCCCCCACTCCAATATATTGATATAAAACAAATCATATATCGTTACCTCATAGATATGAAGAAACCGAAAAAGAATGGATAGATATTAACTGACTTAAAAATATATATATATATGTATATATATATATCATTATAGGTAACTAGACTCGTTTCGAAAAACCCTGGAAATTTTGAACTGACGATCCCGTTTTGAAACCTAGGTAAGTTTGTCTGGCTCACTAGGTGTATATATATATATATATATATATATATATATATATATATATATATATATATATATAAATTCGCCGAATAATCCTCAACAGAATGTAGAAAGTACTGGACGGCCGTTTCGTCCTATCTGGGACTCATCAGCAGTGCGCATCCACTACTGAGCATTGAACCCGGACCGTTTCGATACAGCGCAAACGTCATGCCAACTGTACAACGAGTCTAGGTGACGAAAACGTCACAAACTAGACTCGATATAGCGCCACTACTCACTCAGTTCCGCATCCAAGTATTCAGATAACCTCGGAACAGTGCCCCAAGAGCCACGACTGCTTTTTGACCCTTAGCCGCTCAATCGCATCAACTGGGGTCTAGCAAGGATATACAAGTGATTATTTGGGGGATTTATGCTAATCATACATTAATGCGTCGAGTCTAGAATAATCCTCAACAGAATACAGAAAGCACTGGACGGCCGTTTCGTCCTATGTGGGACTCAGCAGACGTGGCTCTTGGGGCACTATTCCGATGTTATCTGAATACTTGGTTGAGTATCGCTGTGGAACTAAGTATCGAGTCTCGTATGTGTCTTCTCTGTCGCCGAGGACCGTGGTATAGTTGGTGTGACGTTTGCGTTGTATCGGAACGGTCCGGGTTCGATTCTCGGTGGTGGATGTGCAGATTGGAAGAAACAGCCGTCCAGTGCATTCTGTTGACGATTATTCTAGGCTCAACGAATTAATATATGATTAGACTCAATCCCCAAAATAATCACTTATATATATATATATATATATATATATATATGTAATTAAACCTAGAGAGCCAAACAAACCTACCAAGGTTTTACCTACGCGGATCGTCAGGGAATGTCGGCTAAATAGGTAACGTAAGAATTGAATATATAGCCTACGAGCATAAAAGCATGACTACGTGGGGAGATTAAACATTTATTCAAATCGGGATAAAATAATAAAAAAATTATACAAAAAAGAGGAGGAGACCTAGTCGAACAACCAACCATTTGCAAATCAAGACACCGAAGGTTTTCCCGACGAGTATAATTTCTTACATTTATAAGATTATAACTAGTATATATATACATATGTGTGTGTGTGCTCATTCTTTTGTCTGCGTGACCTTTCTTACACATTTCTTATTGACACTTTAGCGAATTTATTATATTTGGGCATCTCACACCCAAATGTTGGATCGGTTTGTGAGTACAAAAAAATAATTTTCAAGTCATTCGTCTTCCCCCACAAAATGGTTTCAATGGATTCTTTCTAACTTTCTGTTCATTTAAACAAAAGAATTATTAAAAACTAGTCCTACTTACAAAAATACCCCAACAAAAAGTTGACATTACAAAAATAACCCCCCAAAAAGTTGACATATCGTAAAATCACTTAAACCAAGTTAAACTTCACCTACACCTTATTTAGAATTGTATGTATTAATACTTATTTTAGCAGTTCTATCACACTTATTGGTATACTAGCAGCATGACCCGGCGTTGCCCGTGCTTGATTCAAAAATCGTACGACTTATACAGCAATCGCTATCACTTGACTTAAAATATTTTTGCCCTTCCTTGCCTTTAAAAGGAGTGCCCTTTGCCGTGCTGATGTTGCTACATGCCCTTACTTCTTGCCTATCTCACACTGCGATTTTTTTCTAAGCTCTATACTAAACATTAAATGTGTTACGAAAAAAGAACTAAACAAAATGAACACAAAACGATCAACTTTAAAAAGGACACGTAACTGGAAAAACCGAATGAAAAAAGAATGTTAACAACAAATACTTTTTCACACCCAACCCAGTTCTGCGGAATCAGAATCAACGTTGAGTTTAAGCTAGCGAATGAGCCAATTGGAGTAAAGTGTCATGCAGATTTAAATTTTTCCCACTTGTGACGAATGCAGCTATCGATTTTTTTTTGCATGCTAGTTAACATTCGTGTCAGTCAGCTGTGGGCTCTCACGCTGGCTAATAGAATCTTCCTGCCTATTTGTGACAGCCCGCTATAGGCTCTCACTCTGGCCAGTAGAAAATGGCCGCAAACTACACGAAAAATGCCGTAGAAGCATGAAAAAATCGATTATTTCCACTATCGATGGGAGTTGGGAAATGCAAAGTCGGTCTTGGCCTTCCGGCTAACTTGAAGCATGTGCATGTAAATTTTGGTGCAAATCCGTCGAAAATTGCGGTCGTGCATTCGTTACACACACACACACACAAAAAAAAAAAAAAAAAAAACATCCTGCCTTTTATAGATAGAGATAAACTATCCTCATTTGAAATAGAAACTATGGATATAACGGCAGTAAGAAAAAAGAAACGGCGGTAAAGGAGGTCAATCGTGACAGCAGAAATACGTATCAGTAGAAGGCTGGCAAGATGAACATGTTTATGATCTCAAGTTCTAGATTCATTTCTCAAGCGGGTGGAATTTCCCCAGTGGAAATTTCATTGTTTCAAGGGGGCAATCTTTTACTTTTTCTTGTTTTTTTTTTATTTCCAAGATTTTTTTTATTGAATTACATTACCTTGATATTCTGTCGAACTTTTTGTTTATTGGAGTATGCTTCAGTTTGCTTATTTGATAAATGTATTAAAACAAATTAGACATAAATTTAATAATTTATTAATTAAAATAAATTACTGTACATCAATTCAAGTTTTAAATCAATCGATATTTTCTATTGTGATTAAATTCGTAAAACTCCTCTATAAAAATAATCCATGTAAATGTATTATACACCCTTCTGCAAATTAACTGAAACAAAACGAATAATTCCAGTATTATTTACTTTTTTTTCGTATTTTTCCAATGAAAGATGACCCAGTGAACATGATAGTACTTCGTAAGTCGTTCCTTCCAAATTGACTTCAGATTCTCGATTGGATTTAAACCAGGAGAGACTCCGGGCCAGTCTATAGTACTTTGATTTTCTCACTGGTAAGGCTTGCCAGTGTGTTCGTGCAGCGTTGCAATTTCCGTACCCTTCCTTGGAGTAACGTCCATCGCAGACAATGGCCGTAGGACAACTAATCGACAGTAAAGACAATAATGTCCGAGCGTGAGGAAAATATGATGCAATCACAGATGACGTAATATTTTTCAAGACCAAACAAATTTCATCATACACCTCGAAAATAGATTCATATTACTGCACACCACTGGAAATGACCTAATCTGAGGAAAAAATAGAAATCGATTACACCCTGACACTCCAGTGGGTCTTAAACTGACTGTATGGTGAAAGAAGGGAAACTAAAGCAGTTGTTTCAATTTATTTGCACAAGTGTATGTATGTACTTATATGGGAAAGAAAGAAGATTTTTCGATATTTTTTCACATACACACACACACACACACACAAACACACAGAGAGAGATACATACATATATATATATATATATATATATATATATATATATATATATATATATATATATATATAGTTAGTTTATGAAAAAACAGGTAATCGTATGGGTAAACCTAAGGAGGATAAAATCTTGAGAGCTCAATGTAAATCCAGAGCAAATAATTTAAATAAAAACAGACAACTTTACGG